GAAAAAAGGCAAAACTGTTAAGTCGTTGACGGGTTTAAACTGTACCCATTCTGATAACCGGCCTCAAAGAGAACGGTGTCTCGTTATTTTTCGTCACCATCTCCTCATGCTGAGAGCAAGTAATATACAAGACGTGAGGGCCAATGTATAAAATTTAAGTTTAGTGAAAGAGGCAGGCACGTGTGAATGCGCATATGTAAATGAACTAATGTTCGTTTACACATGAATGAGGGCAGTCGTTCGCTGCAAAACGCACCCGTTTCTGATTTTTCGGTAAAGCTGAGTATTTCTCACGCCCACCAGTAGGAGTTTCACCTCCAAGCAAAATTAAGACCGCACTTGAAAGTAGCAGTTCTTGGCTACTTTCCCTGAAAATCATGAAATTCTTGATTTTTTTTAGGGGTTTAATTGAAAATTTGGCAATAATGAGTGGGCAGAAATCACCATCAACAATAAAAAATTTGAAGTCCACAAACAAAATCTGAGAAACCACACAAAAGTAACAGCTTATTTAAAAAACCCGTTTAAAACTTAAGCACGCCATGTCAATCAAGCAAAACACTGTGGTACTACACATACTAGAAAGTTTTTGTTTTTGTTTGTAGTTTTTTGTAAGAAAACATAAGTTTTAAAGAAAATTTTAAAAAATTAAAGAAAAAAAAAAGAAAATTAAGGAAAATTTAAAAAAAAGAAAAAAAAAACCACATAAGACAAGCTTATGTGGTTATTTCCTCCATTCTACGCTTTTGAAATGCATATTCATCCTGCTGAAGCATTGAAATTTTGCACGGGTGTCCAAACATACCTTCCATGAGTGCATTTTGATATTTTCGGCTGCTGCTTCGTGTTCCAGCTGTTCTCGTGCTGCACCCGCCACATGTGACATACCCTAAAAAAGTACCGGTAGTAATTAAAAAATAGATCAGCTTCCGTTGTGATTGGTACATTAGTATTGATACACGAGAACTCTAACTGCATGGTTACCTCAATTAACTAAAGCCTAAAGTAACTCTAAACAAAAGCAACTCGAAGTAGCAGTGTTACAACTCTATTCCTAGTTTTTGCATAGTTCCACGCAGAGGGGAGGAGGGCTCTCCTCCTCATCT